CAACTTATTTCCAATGGGCAAATGACAAAAAATGCTGGTGATAATCCCTTTACATGGCTTTACACCAAGATGCATTACAAAACTGACTTAAGATCATTTTTCCAGTGCTCAGTAAGGAAAGTGACACAAAATATTAGCTTTCTCTTGAACATTTGACTAGTAACCATGCTGAGAAAAGGTGTGTATGGATTGGATGCGCATCATTGGCCCAAATTTTAGAAAATCATTTTAATAACTCACCAATAAACCACCCATCAAGCACCAGGCCAATGAAATTAAATTCAAATTAGATATATACCAAAAACAAATCAAACCTATACTAAGTTATCACACCATTATATTATAATAATGCCAACAACAAAAAACATTATAAAAACACTCTTTAAAAACAAACATAATTTCACATACAGGTTTACCTTTAGTACATGTATCCGTTTAATAATGGAGAAGCTATTAGTCAGCTTTATATTGTTTCAATGTGTAAAATTAAAAATATTTTCTTAAAATATGTTTATTTAAGAACAACTATACAAATTAACAAAAACTAGAAAAAGAAGACTATATCCTATTATTTTCCATGTGAATCCCAGATTGTTCATTCTTCTTTGCCTTTTCTAAAAAGTGCTTTAAATCAGTCCCTGTCTTTATCCATGCTGGCTCAGATCCTGACATTTGAAAAAGGAGGCAGGGAAAGCAGCAGGATAAAGTGTTAGCCTCGCTGCATGCAGTCAGCCAAGCCTTGGAGCTAAATCAGGTCCTGGAAAGGACGTTTCTTGCACCATTTCTCTCCTAAATTCTGTCCTAAGCTACTGGATTGTTCTACCAACCCATCCAAAATACATTTCTTCCCTAAAAGGCCATCAGCACAGATGTTCTAAAATAACTACGCTTGGAGACTTAAGGCATTAAATGAGTCATTAGCTTCTAACAGAAAACTTTGTGCGATTTGCATCTTCTAATAAGGCTAAGCTCATTGGTGTTAATCTCACTGTGGTTTAGCTTTGATATGCACCCATGTAATTATATCCTTGTGAATATACAATATGAATTCATTGTGGGTCTCTGGTAACTGCCACATATTTGCATATTGGTTTTGTATCATTAATAGTTTGAAGCATCTCGTCTAGGAGTCTTCAGCAAACCTGTACCAAGAATTTAAACACAATGTATTGTAGGAAGTTGGTTTCTGGTTGGTCTGGGGGGAGAAAGCAGATCAGTTCAATTCAGTCCAGTAATGAAATCCAAGGCAATATGAGACTACAGATGTTTAGATAGGCAATGGTTGACGAAGACCACTGGAAGGGTGGTGACTAGCTTTGTTGCAGGCACAGGCTGGACAGGCTAGAACAGGCATGCTGTCCTGGAAGGCAGCTGTCCTGCAGGTTTTAGAGGTTTCCCTGCTTTTAGCACAGCTTATTCTGATGATTGTAGTTCAGCAAAAGCCTATTTATCAGCAATCAAAGAAAACCAGCTGTGCTAGAGCAGGGAAACCTCTAAAGGCTGCAGAACAGCTGCCAGTTTTTGGCATACCTGGGCTAAAACATAACATTTAATATTTATAAAAACTTTTAACACCGTTAAAATAGGAAAACAGACGTTTTGTTTCTTGGAGGTAGGTCAGATTCTTGCGATCAGTGGCGCCACTCTTCAAACTGCATTTTTATGGCTAAGAGCTCTCTCGCCCACGTTGTAGGTTTGTATAGACAGAGGAAATATGAGACCGGACTGCACCNAAACAGACGTTTTGTTTCTTGGAGGTAGGTCAGATTCTTGCGATCAGTGGCGCCACTCTTCAAACTGCATTTTTATGGCTAAGAGCTCTCTCGCCATGGATGTAGTTTTTTATAGACAGAGGAAATATGAGACCGGACTGCACCACCCCCATGTCAGAGGCATCAACTTCAAATACACATTGTTTCTCTGGATCCGGCGGAATAAGAATTGAGGGCATCGGCGTACTTTGCCTTGAGCTCTGAAAAAGCCCTTTTGGCTTCAGAAAACCAAATGAAAGTTTTTTTGGAGGAGGTTAGGTTAGTGAGGGGGTTGAGCAGTTGTACTGTAGTTTTTAATGAATCTGAGGTAGAAGCTGGTGAATCCTGATAAAACGTCGCTGGTTGTGAGTTGAAGGAGTAAGCCAGTGGAGAATGGCTTAAAACATCACTGGATCTGCCCACTTTCGAGAATGTGCCCCAAAAAGGTGACTGATCTGGCATGAAGCTCACACTTCTTGACTGACAAAAAGTTGGTTCAGAAGACGTTGGAAAACTTAATGTGCATGGAATACTGAAGAGAGATTATCCTTTGCAGCCTTACATACATGCTGGTCATTTAGATTGAGAAATACTTTCAACAACACGGGTCGGTCAACAAGCAAAGATCCTTTCTGTGACGGGAAGCTTACTTACACCAGAAAAACAGCAAAGACTTTAACATAGATGGTTTTATTAACTCTGGGAACGGTTTCTTTAAACCATAGTTTATTATATTTGAAACCTGTTTATCTGAATTTAATAACAACTTTTTCTGTGTTGAAAATATATTGCTCAGGAATAATTCTCATTCTTTTCTTATAAACTGAACATCCTTTACTGTCTCATGTTGGATGGATTAAACCATTGCATTGCATATTTTGGGTCAAAAACGGATACTGACTGTTTGAGCTGAAATTCTCATAGTAGCTATAGAAGTCTGGTGGTTGGATCATAAATAATGTCACAATACTTGCTCTTTCTCTCCTGTAGGCTCCAGATGTTGGAAGCGATCTGTAAGCACTGGGAAGGTCCCATTAGTTTGGCCCTATACCTTTCAGATGCTGAGGCGCAGCAGTTTCTGCGATACGCACAGGGATCCGAAGTTCTAATGAACCGCGGAAATGTAGGTTATCATATTGTCTACAAAGAGGGACAGTTCTATCCAGTCAATCTCCTGCGCAATGTGGCCATGCAGCAAGTAAACACGCCCTACATGTTCCTCTCAGACATAGACTTCCTGCCAATGTATGGTCTGTACGAGTATCTCAGGTAAGAGGCACACAAGTCTTATAAAGGTCTGATCTAGTAAATTTACTGCTTAATGTTTACTGATTTTCTTTTCTTGTAGGAAATCAGTGGTGCAGCTTGAAATGGCCAACACCAAGAAAGCCCTAGTGGTTCCAGCCTTTGAAACTTTGCGATATCGCCTCAGTTTCCCAAAGTCAAAGGCAGAATTGCTTTCTCAGCTGGACATGGGCACACTCTTCACATTTAGGTGCAAAAAACTAAGATCTCATTTTATTACTTGTATGTGTGACTCCATGAGGAGATGATTTGAAGAGATGCAAAAGCAAAGGTGGATGAGCAGTTGACCACTGATATCGTAATCTGTGATTTACCCCTGTTGACTGTAGTATGTGAAGCTCTAATTTTTCATAATAGATACCATATTTAATGCTCCATATACAGTACAGACCAAAGGTTTGGATACACCTTCTCAGTCAAAGAGTTTTCTTTCTTTATGACGATGAAAATTGATGATTAACACTGAAGGCATCAAAATTATGGATTAACACGTGGAACTGTATA